TATATTTCAAGCCTTAATTTGTTATAATTTTGATGATTGTGGCTTATAGTTTATGAAAACCCAAAATTCAGAAACTCAGAAAATTAGAATATTGTAAGAAGGTTTAACGTTGTAGGCTCAAAGTGTCACACTCTAATCAGCTAATGAATCCAAAACGCCTGCAAAGGCTTCCCGAGCCTTTAATGGTCCATTAGGCTGGTTCAGTTCAGTAGGAATCTCAATCATGGGGAAAACTGCTGACCTGACAGTTGTGCAGAAAACCATCATTGGCAGCCTCCAAAAGGAGGGAAGGCAACAAAAGGTCATTTAAGAAGAAGGTGGATGTTCCCAAAGTGCTGTATCAAAGCCCATTAATAGAAAGTTATGTGGAAGAGAAAGGTGCAAAAGAAAAAGGTGCACAAGTATCAGGGATGACCGCAGCCTGGAGAAGATTGTCGGGAAAAGGCCATTCAAAAGTGTGAAGGACCTTCACAAGGAGTGGACTGAGGCTGGAGTTAGTGCATCAAGACCTGCCACACAGACACAGATCCTGGACATGGGCTTTGTATTCCTCTTGTCAAGCTGCTCCTAAAGAACAAACAACATCAGAATCGCCTCACCTGGGCTAAAAGAAAAAAAGAACTAGTCTGTAGCTCAGTGGCCCAAAGTCCTCTTTTCTGATGGGAGCAAATTTTGCATCTCATTTGGAAACCAAGCTCCCAGAGTCTGAAGGAAGAATGGAGAGGCACACAATTCAAGATGCTTGAAGTCCAGTGTGAAGTTTCCACAGTCTGTGTTGATTTGGGGAGCTGTGTCATCTACTGGTGTTGATCTACTGTGCTTTGTTAAGTCCAGAGCCAACGCAGCCGTCTAACAGGACAATTTGGAGCTCTTCATGCTTCCTTCCACAGACCAGCTTTATGGAGAAGCTGACTTCATTTTCCAGCAGGACTTGGCACCTGCCCACACTGCAAAAGATACCAAAACCTAGTTCAATGACGATGGGGCAACTGTGCTTGATTGGCCAGCAAACTCGCCTGATCTGAACACCATAGAGAATTTATGGGGCATTGCCAAGAGAAAGGTGAGAGACATGAGACTGAACAATACATAAGAGCTGAAGGCTGCTATTGAAGCATCCTGGTCTCCCATAACACCTCAGCAGTGCCACAGGCTGATAGCATGCATGCCATGCTGCATCGAGGCAGTAATTCATGCAAAAGGGGCCCAAACCAAGTATTGAGTACATATGTATGATTATACTTTTTAGAGGTCCAAAATTTCTCTCTTTAAAATCCTTGTTTTATTGATTTCATGTAATATTCAAATTTTCCGAGATTTTGAAATTGGGGTTTTCATAAGCTGTAATGATCAACAAAATCATAAAAAAAATAAAAGCTTTTAATATCTTGCTTTACATGTATTGAGTCTATATCATATATTAGTTTGACCTTTTAAGCTGAATTAGTGAAATAAATGAACTTTTGCATGATATTCTAAGTTTTTCGAGTTTCACCTGTATAAAGTAAATACTGAGTCTGTACAATTCTAATAAGCTTGAAAGTCAGTATTTGGTATGATCACCTTTATCCTTCAAACAGCCTGAAATGAACACTATCCACACAGATACAGCAGCCAGGGAAGAAGAAGAATATCATATGAAAAAAGCCCGGACTAAATGTGGTTATCCTAGCTGGAATTTTATCAAAGCTGGGAAGACACCTAAAAAAGGCTCCAGGAGAGCAGGACAACTGCTGCCTAAGCAGAAACCTCTACTTGTCCCTTATGTGTCAGGAGTATCAGAACAGCTGAGATACATTTACTCTAAACACCACGTCTGCGTGACTTTAAAACCCAAAAACACGCTGCACCAAAAATGAGTTCACCCAAAGATCTAGTCCCCTGACACAAACAGAGTAATATAGTGTACGCTGTTAAGTGCCAGGAGAATTGCCATGATTTATACATTGTAGAGACCAAACAACATGTGGCTAAGTAGATGCCACAACACAGAAGAGCTAACTCGTCAGGCCAGGACTCTGCAGTCTATTTACACCTACAGGCCGGTGGACACTCTTCCAATGATGAAGATGTACACATCCTGGACAGGGAGGAATGCTGGTTTGAGCGTTTGGAGTCAAGGAGGCTATTTACATGAAAAGGGAAAGAGGAGGAGCCGTAGGGATACATCTTTCACCATCTTGCAATGCTGTGATTGCAGACATTCTCCAAATCTATGTGAATTGTATTCATGGCCATTGATCAGTGGTCATTACAATTTGCATGTTAATGATCAGGAAACTGACCTGGTGGGGTCTATCCCAGCCATTCTATTGTATCTCTTGCTTCGTGTTTAAGGTCACTGTCTGCTGGAAGGTGAGTCTCCTTCCCAGTCTCAAGTCCTTTGCAGCCTCCAACAGGTTTTCTTCCAGGATCTTCCAGCTCCATCCATCTTCCCATCAACTCTGACCAGCTTCACTGTCCCTGCTGAAGAAAAGCATCCCCACAGCATGATGCTGCAACCACCATGTTTCACAGTGGGGATGGTGTGTTCAGGGTGATGAGCAGGCAGTGTTACTTTTGCTCCTCACGTAGCGCTTTGTATTTAGGCCCAACTTTAGTCTTATCTGACCAGAGCACCTTCTTCCACACAGTTGCTGTGTCCCCTTCATGTCTCCTGGCAAACTGCAAAAGGTACTTTTTATGTATTTCTGTCAACAATGGCTTTTTTCTTGTCGCTCTTCTTTATAGGCCAGATTTGTGGAGTACACGACTTACAGATTCTCCCCACCTGAGCTGTGGATTTTTCCAGCTCCTCCAGAGTGACCGTGGGCCTCTTAGAAACTCCTCTGACCAGTGCTTTCCTTGCTCAACCTAACCCTGCTTTAAACCTATCTACAACTTTTATCTACATCCATGTCTCCTTTTTGTGCCACTTAACAATTATGTGCTACTTTGTGTTGGTCAGTCACTGACAATCTCAATCGAAAACATTGAAGTTTGTGGCTGTAAGGTGACAAAATGTTTAAAAGTTGAAGGGGTATGAATTTTTTTCAATGCACTGTAAACAACCATAAAACATAAATATGTTATTGTATTAAAAATTTTAAAAACACTATTGATTTACTCACAATGAATCATAAAATAACAGTCAGACAGTCTCCTAAAGCTGAACAGATTTTTTTTTTCAGAGGGGGTTAATTTTCAATAAGTGACTGAAAATGTGTAACTATGGCAGAAATAATACATTTCAGGTCACATGTGTGTAACAACTACTTCATTGACTATTTCAGAGGAAACATTTTCCAATGTACTTTAATCTTTTAGCAGATACACAACAAATAATCAATACAGGATACTTGATATATGTAAGAAAAAATACAATTTTGTCTCTGAGTGCTGGTCAATAGTAAAAATATACTTGATAAAAAAAAAGAAAGCAGAAAAAAAAGAAGAAATGTGTACATAATCCTTCGACATAAAGGGTAAATCAACAAAGTTTCACACTATATGATTGTCAAATTCAACAATGCATTTCTGAATTTTCTAAATAACTCTTAGTAACTTTTTTAGATTGACAAAATGCAACACATGAGCAGGTGGCTCATAGTGAAGAAATAATGCACTTGTTTTATCTGCCTTGCTGTGTATCATTGTTTTTGTTGAGCCTCAGTGTAATTTTTAAATTTTCAAATCCAAGTATTAGAGAAAACAGATAAAATGTAAAATATTGACGTTTTATATTGATGCAAACAAAAAGTATTTGACACTGTTAGTAAAATGTAAAAATAAAACTATCAATCATTAATTTCTTTACTAGTTTATGTTTAAATCATAATTTGTTCTTTAGCTGTAAAATAAATGCAAGAATAATGCTAAAACATACCATAAAAACAGTGAATCATCATCAATTTTCTCAGTAAAGGAATGAAAAATTTAAAAAATAATACAAACATAGAAGAGTAAAACCTGTTGGTTTACAAAGACGAAAAATAAAAATGATAAACTCATCCAGTTTATCTCCTTACATACTTCATGTTTGATGAAGTTGCTTACCACACAAAAAAACAAAACAAAAAAAACCAACTTTCCGCCATAGATAAATAGAAATGATCTCATTTCTGCAAATCAAATGTTTTGTTTAAATGAACGTATTCAAGTCACTTTTATGCAAATGAACATTTATAATTTTTTAACATCTAAGAAAAAATCGTACTAGTTTATTAATCTATCCTGTTGTTACTTCACCCTAAAAGATTTCACCTTAAAACAAAAACATAATCATGTAAAAATGATATATAAAATATATCAAAGCAGTCATACTGTATATACTCTCACAGTGAATACATGAGCAGCTCACTGAGGATGTGCTTGAGTTTATTCTGCTTTGCTGTTTCATTGTATTCACAGAGGTTAAAGGTAATTTCTAATCTTTATTATAAACGAATCAAGACAAACATCAACAAGACCATAAACAAATAAAAGTGTTCAAAAAAGTAGTATGACTTAAAGTTAAATGATAAACTAAGATTTCTGGTTCAATTCAATTCAATTCAATTCAATTCAATTTTATTTATATAGCGCCAAATCACAACAAAAGTCGCCTCAAGGCGGTTCAACACACGTCATAGAAATCTGATAACTCAAGCTATTAAATGAAAAAAAAAACATAAAAAATTAGCAAATCTCAACTTTTACACAAATGCAAATAAAAACTTAGAGAATTTAAAAATATAAGAAAAATTTAATATGAATGAAAAAGTAGAAAATGCTCAGTATACTATTCCCTTGCATATTTATGAACGAACCACGCACATTTACATTGGATTACACGATTTTTCTTTTTTCTATGTGTATCAATCACCTATTGCTTTAATTTCTTATTAGATGGAGAAATATTATTCACTCCTTGCAGCATGATAATATTACTCTTCTTTTTAAAATTCTAACCATTCGCAAGAGAAGTAAAATATAATGAAAAATAAAATATTAAAATGTAAATATAGTTTTTGGTTGTTGAATTGAATTTGTAAAATAATTCCAAAAACAAATTAACAGCACAACACGTCCTATGATTATTACATCAATAAATGCAGAAAAAATACCTTTGTTTACTTCTTTAGATAACTAATATCTCTCTATGCACTCATTCAGTTCATCACTCATTCATCAACTCCTGTTTGGCTGTGATGGTGTATTTCCAGGTCTCAATTATCTGAGACAGCTTCACTTCTTCAGAGAGGTTTTTCTCCACGTAAGGAGGGACTTCTACTTCTTTATGATCCATGTAGGCACTGACCACCTCCTTCAGACTGTCAAAAGAAAGAATATATTCATTTAATAGATAACTTTACATTGGAGCAAATAATTTTTTACTTAGCAGGAAAACTAAAAACATATTATAATAAAGACACACTTTTGGTATAGACAAGGCCAAACGATGGGGCACTATAGTGATGTGGAATAAAATATGCATAAAAACTCAAAAGTAATTGGACAAAGACCTTTTTAAGATAGCTTTGCCTCTGTACGCCATTGCAGTTGATTTTAAATGAAAATTTTAAGGCGTGATGGAAGTGCAGATTTTTTTTTGAACTGTTTAGGAATTACAGTCATTTTTATACACAGTCACACATTTTCAGAGACTTAATTGAAAATTAATTAGACAAACTAACACAGTTTTAAATATAAATAATTTTAAGTTTTTGATACTTAGATGAAAAACTTTTGTTTCATTCTGACTAATCTATAACTTTATGCATATCTTTGCATCTCTGAGATCACTCTTATATATCCGTATTTTGGCTACACAGGATCATCTGCAGTGACTTTGAGGCTTAGGATGCAAATCGTTCTTCACACCTGCTAAATCAGGGCCAAAAACAACCCTGGCATTACCAAACATAAATTTGGTATTATACAACAGGTTTACCTCCATGATGGATTGTAGTCCTCAGTTGCCCGTAGGCGGCCCAGGCGCAACAAGAGGAACTCATGCATCTCAAGCAGCCACTGGTCCACATTTCCTCTGGACATGAATCCTTTCAGCTCAGTCTTGTTGTCCTCAGTCAGTGGCACCTGGTACTCGGCTGGATACCCCGAAAAGGGCTCCTTTTTAACAAGACATGCAGTCATGCATTTTGTATGTATATGGTAGATGGATTGGCATATATGGTTAATAATGGTCATACTGACCAATTAGTGATTTTTTTAGTACAAGCCACATTCATTTAATCTAACACTGAAGCTAAGCTTCAAAACTTACAATTTATCTATGCTTAGTGAAAAATAAGCATATGATGTTTAATCTGGCAATTTTGAATCTGAAAAAAAAAATACAGCAAAAATCAAACTTACTCTTTTGAGTTGCAGCATTTTTTCAGAGTTGAGAGAGGACAGGACTTGCCATAGACAAACACATTGCTGCAGTTCACATTTGCTAAAAGCCTGCAAAAAAGTGAAAACCCCTCAACAACTTATAAACAGTTTGTTCTATCTGGTTTTTGTCTTATTATTAATATTGATGTTTGACATGTGAGGCTCAGAGTGAAAGAGTGTACATGTAATGACCTTCAGTATGTGATGATCAATGCTTTGGTCCATCTTTAGTATTTCCTGAAGGTAAGTGACCAGTTTCATTGTGGGATCACCACCCGTCATTGAGAGGAAACCCAGAAGCAGCTCCACAATCTTGAGCGCCTCGCACACCTCGCTGTAGGAGTCCAGCTGTCTGGACACAGTATTCTGTGCCATAGATGTCAGAACACTCTGATAGAGAAACAAAAATATTAGTGAACCTAAAAGACACAAGTTATGTAAATCCCTTTATTGCTGTGTGCATGCACATGTACATAAATATCAAATGTAAAGCTTGAGTAGTACTTTTAAGTCAAATACAGCTGGATGAATGTCAGGAGTATTGCTTTATTTGCTGTAACTATTAGGCCTGAAATAAATCTGTGATTTGGTGAAAAACAAGAATTGAATCTGGTATAACTGTAATAATCCATTACTATCTAAAGTCCACATATCATGTGTCAGTGCTTTTGCTGTTAACTGGTACTGTTAGTTATTGACTCAGCACAAACCAAGTGAAAAGAAATTTGTTGTTTAACCTGGAAATTTTGTACCTTAAATATGTATTTTGGGTTTTACACATAGACAGCTATAATCATGTAGAGTTGTAAAGTACATCAAAGTGTAGTGATAACTTGCTAACGCAGTACTGTACCTGTGGCACTTTTCCATGAACAGTTTTGAAAATGGTTTCATAGTCTCTCTCTTGCGTGTTGACCAACGTGGGAATTCCCTTAATAAAAAACAGGGGGTTTAGTGAAGGGGTTTAGTTTAGGGATCACAAAAAAGCAGTTTTAAACAGAATGGTTTTGAGCTTGGATTTCAAAAGTGGTGAATCAATATAAACACATAGATATTACTGCAAAATAAGTATGACCACACAGAACAGATACAATACGAGAACTCAAATGATGAAGTTAACCAACACAATAAATGAAATCTCTGTAGTGAAGTGGTCTACACATTTGATTACACTATTTGTTTGTTTAACAATGTGCTGCACAGAGGTCTTTACACCCACATCTACATGCTGTAGCAATTCCTGTGATAAAAATTTGGAATAAACAATAATAGCTTAGTCTTGCTTGTGTTTGTATTGTTTTTGGTTCAGCTTCAGCTTGCTCCCTGCCATCTGTTATGACAGAAGTTTAACAGAAAGTGAACTTCCTTCTCATTTGTGCTTTTTAGATTTCAGTATGTTGAATCATGCAAAAAATAAAAACAAATAAATATACACTAAGGGTGTTGCATGACCACCTTCAAAGATTCATTCTGAGCTTGAAAGATCCCTGAAGGTAATGCACAATCCAGTCAACACCAGATCGTACAGTAGTTAGGAATTTGGGTCATTTAAGGTGTGGGACACATGTTTTAACCAAACCAGGCTGTGGGGACTCACTGCGCGGGTAATGAGAGGTTTTCCCTGCAGAAAGCGGGTGAGGATCTGCTGTTGGATCCTGGGCAGGTCATACTCAGATATTGTCTCGTGGCCACGTTCCAAGCTGTACTGGCAGTTGGACAAAACCAGAGGAAACAGGTCCTTCTCCACATCATAGCTGATCACATGCTGCTCCATTAGCTCCAACAGACTCACTGTGTAGTCACTGCAGACATCACAATGTAGATATGAACTTTAATCTTCCAACATTTCTTTTCCAAATAATTTTGAATAAATGTTGGTCTAGAATGAAGAAAAATGTTTGTTGAGCAAAACTTAACTGTATTATATTTACAATATATAATATATCAATAGCATCGACTCAGTAATTGGTTATGTGGCTCTGTGTTTCTATGTCAAGCTCCAAGGCGAAAGGAAGGATTTTTAATACTAACACCTGTGAATGATACTCATTTGACTCACCTAACTTAAGACTATTGACGTTTCACTTGAACTTCAGGTAGAAAATAGATAGGTAGAAATAAAATGCAGAATAAACTGCTTTAAAAAACTACCTGTTGTCCTCTCGTGTGTGACGGTCCACTGCATTCACCAACTCATTGTGGAGAGTCACCAGATAGCTGACCAGCCCTGTGGCACACAGGCCTGGACCCTGCCGACGGGGCAGGAGGTACCTGAGGTCACTGTCCAGGTCCAAATCCCTGCTGCAAAATTCTTCTGGAATTTTTATTTCATCTATAGTTTTGAAAGGACAGATAAATAATTCCTTATTTGTAATACAGCTTTTTCCATTACTTTGACTTATGTGGTATATACACAAAAACATCAATTATTGTACTCGACTGTAGCAGACAAAATGATGACTATTGTCATGTAGAGTACACTGTAAATGTATGTTCTCACAGGGCAACTGAAATCAATCAAGAACTGCACTCATTTTAAGTTAAATTGAAGACATGTTATTCATTTATTTATCTTTTTAATTTCAACACAATGCACAGAACAAAATAATTTAAGGAGAGACAAGAAAATATGTAATAACATAAACAGATTGAATGTGAAGGTGAGACAAAGAGCAGGTTAGTGCTTTACTTACTGCTGGTCACAGAGACTCTTAGCTCATTCCATGTTTTCAGGAAGGTCTCAATGTGTTTTTGATACCATGGGCTCATGTCTGGAACAAGTAATTTAGAAACAGTGACTAAAAACTTAAAAAAAAAAAAAAAGACAAAAGGCAAAGAAACAGTGACTACATTTTTATGACATGAAATGAAACAGAGAGAAAAAAATATGTCAGTTGTCCCTGCAGCAAATATTAACTTTGGTGATAGATTTTGTTTTTGATTTCCAAATGAATACAAATTAGTACAACAGTCAATTGTTCATATTTTCAGAAAAAGACAAAGTTTAAGTCCATCTAATCTCTGTACCTGTTTGCTGATCAATGAATTCTCTGATGGAACCCGCGATCTCTTCAGTTGCATTCTGGTACTTTCTCACCAAACGTTTCTGCAGCATTAGGATTTCTGGGAGGAATTTGATATGTCGAAATTCTCTTTCCTGTAAAAAGAAGTTTAGATAAATGGCTATCACATCTTTGGTCATTTCTAATTCTGTTACTGAGAATATTGACCCACTTATTGAAACTTTAAAGAGTAATTTATTATGATTTTATATATAGAATGTCAGGATAATACGTGTTGCAAAGTAATACTGTAGTTTAATCAAATCTATAGATTTCACAGGTTTGGCTAATCTGTAATTCCAAATTAGCAGCAGGCACAAATGATTGCATGTCTTTATATGCCAATTTGGGCTTGTAGTCTGAAGTCAAGCTACATGTCAGCCCTGTGATTGGATTGTGAACTGCCCAGAACTGACCCCACCTTTCTATCAGTGTTAGATACTGGTGACCCTCTATAAGTAAAACTTTTAGGGCACACAGGAAATAATAGTAATAATCAATAATATTTCTAAAATAGTTTTAGAAACAACACTATTATGAATAATGGGATTCAAACTGGAAAAAAGAAATCAAAGCAGTGAAAGAGCTCAACTACAGAAAAATCAAAAGTCATAATATATAAGGAAAAATTTGAGATTTAGTCTAAATGTAGCCCTGGCTGTATAAATAGTTCATTTATTTTGATGGTTGAATGTAAATGTTATGTGTGTTTAAGAATGAATACAAATGTGTGTTAATTAGATGCACAGCGTTCTTATTTGCATTTTGAGGTGTATGTCATTATTTTCTGTAATGGTATTGGTATGTACTACAGTTCCGGGCCAATCCTGAAGTAGTCTCAGGTAGAGTGGGTTGGAGTAAGTGGGGAGCCGTGTTCACTCCGCGGAAAGAGAGAGGAGAGATGAGGAACAGTGTCATGTGGACGCAGAGTTCATGGGAAGGTGACAAACTTTTATTTTCAGGTTGACGATCAGTGTGAAAGCTGTTGTACCCTACTGCGAGGTAAATATGAATCTGTGAGTTGTGTTTGAAACTCATATATTTACTCATATATTTAGCAAATGGTAATATTGCTGAGACAGTATGTAATAGTATGTAAATCGGCATTTAGCTGGGTTATTTGATTTGGTAGGAGGAGACAGAGCTCTTGCTGGCATGCCAGAGAGGTCCCTTTTGTTGTGCTTATGTGTTAACGTGGGAACACGTGGATACGGTAACTGCGAGTGCTGCTGCCGCGCCCTGCTAGCGGCCTTGACCCAGTTTCCCCCGCTATCCCCTTGAACTGCCTGGAGGTGTGAGTACTATTGTTTGCACGTGCTTTTTATTTTACTGCTTGGCAACAAGTGAAGCGGCCAAGTTGTTTTAGGTCCCAATGCACCCGAGGCACGACTCAGGCCTGCAATGAGGTGTTTGTTAACACAGAAAGACTGTTGCAGTTAAGGAGTGTGTGTGGGCCCACCATATTATTTAATCATTTGGTTACAGTTGATATTAGATACCTAACCATTGCTCGACAACTTTATTAATGTTACTTATTTTCTTTTGTTTTTTAGAAGTATTTTATAATTGACCTGCTTGTGTCTGGTTTATTTCCATAGTCTATTTTATTGCACAATTCATGTCACAAACATCAAAAAGGGAGTATCAGTAGTAAAGACCCCTCTCAATAGAACGTGGGGCGGGTGTTAGGTTACACAAAAGGAAAATTTCAGGATTGTTTGAAATGCACAAGAGCAGTGAATTCCAAATAATTTTGTGAAAGCTTTACATCTGTGAGACACACACCTTCTGCAGGAACCTCCAGAGCAGGGGGAGCTCCTCCTTTTGATCATTCGTCTCCATAATGTGTGTGAGGCTGAGCAGCGACAGCCTCTCCCTGCAGCTCCACACTGCTGAGCTGTCGACCTCAGAGCCCTGTTGCAGTGAGGCGAGGAAGCTACAGTCATCACCGTGGATCGTCCTTATGATGAAGTTGGAAGATACACGTGAGTCATTTCTAATGGTTCCCTTTGCCTCTTGTAGGAGTTGGTCAAGATCCTGGACACAAAATATTGGCAAAGGCAGTTATGTACAAATAAGACTGAAAAAATATCAGTTATAAAATGAAAAAAGTCAAAACATGTAAACGGTGATTTTAAAGAATTACCTTCAACTTTGGTGTCATAATATCTGTAGCCACAGTAGTCTCCCAGGTGTTTCTGGATTCTTTGGATGTAAGGTAAGGGTCGATAGTAGCTAGAAAAAACATTTACATAGCCATTGGTTAAACAGTCAAATACCAGTTTCCATATTTGTTGACATTTAATCCTCACAAACAATTCCTGTCTAAGGAGGTCTGCTTTATTCAAACTATTATTAAGTTTGTTTCACAGTCTTTTGTCCTGCCATGTATGTCCTTTAACAAATGGCTTCCTTACAGTTACTGGCATGTGGTAGCTCCTGAAGTGATCTGAGCACCAAGTGAACAGATGTTACAGTGTCGTCAGCTCCTTTTCCCAGTGCCTGTGACAGCTGTTCAAGATCCTTTATTATGTGCAGCCTGAGAAACAAACTGACATCCTCCACAGGTGGCTGGATTATCTGTTGGATAACCTGAAAAAAATAGTGGATAATAGCATCATACTACATGCAAGACAGCAACATCGTTCATTGAGTTTAACTATTTTGCAGAATATTAATCAGTGAGCTACACACAACCTAAAAAAATGCTAGTCTCACAAAGTCACCAAAAGCTGCTTAAATATTACAGCTACTGTACAAAATAGCTTTAGATACTTTATTTAGGATGGTTAAGAGCCTCTAAATTAGAGCTCACCTGAGGTTTCTCTGAGGCTCCCAGCATCATGGCGAGATGTGTAACTAGCCGGACCAGAGTAAAGGGAGTCAGAGACATGTTTTTGGTATCTAAGGCATCTGGGTTGTTTCTCCGTTGAGGGTCTCCCAGAATGTGACCGGGACGTGTTTGATCCCTAAAACAACAGATTTGCATGAGTAAAAAGTAGAGTAGGTCTCCCCCCAGTGCAAAACAGGTGACATTTAGAAGCGCAAGCACACATGTGAAAGTTAATATAGTTAATATAATATTACCCTTGTGCTGCTTTTAGAAAATTAACTTAGTGACAATTAGTTCACAAGGTTATACTATGCATAAAATATGTATTGTTTTTAAGAGTATACTTGAAGTACAGCCATAACAAGACAAATAAACCCACTCTAACAAAAACAGACCAAACTGCTGCCGTTCTAAAACAAACTGAACTCTGCTTCTTATATTACACACGCAGCATCTACAATCTCAAAAGAAATAATCTCTGGAAGAAAAACCAGCAAACACAGCTAACAAAGAAATTAAAGAAAAAAAAACCTGTATTGTATACAACAAACAAAAAAAGTATTCTGACTGACATTTTGTCTTTGAAGATATGTGTTACTCTTTCTTTGTGGAAAATTTGATATCACTATGTGACAGCCTCTTTTTAATACATACTGGTTGTGAATACTAACCAGTTTTTCTGCAGTATCCATGAAAAAAAAAATCTGAACTCATTTTTTACAGTTTTTTTTTTAAAACTAAACCTTTCCAACACAATGAATACACAGAGTATGTAATGGTACTGGGTCTGTGACCCAGTGTTTTGTGTGTTTTCGTTTTATTCTTTGATTATTGTTATTTTTTCAGTGTTTCCTGGTTTATTTTGAAACAGTCTTTGTGTCTTTGTCATTGTGTTTAGTGTCATTTCCCCTGTGGCGTCATTATGTTTATTCTAGTTGGCTGTTTCCCCATGTGTTTCCACTTCCTCTCATCACCTCCTGTGTGCATTTAAGTCCTCTGTTTTCCTTTGTTCATTGTCAGGTCATCTGTTTATTCCACATCATAGTTCTCACAGTCTTCATAGTTTTTATAGTTAGTTTTCCAGTTTAGTTGTCATATCTGTTTTGCCTTAGCTTTTGTGTTTTCTCCTTTCATCAGCCCAAATAAAGTCTCGCTTTTGTTTAAAGATTCCTTTCTCAGTGTCTGCTTTTTGGTCCATTCTCAAAAGACATCGCCGTGACAGAGCAATTCAATGATATCAAAGTACTGGTCGGAATCGTCTCGTCAGAATTTTCTGTTCACGGTGCAGTCTCATTGTTAAACTTTTTAAATGCACAAAAATGAAAACTTATAAGTTTAAAAAATTGACAATGGGAATTTAGTTTATTTTACTTCACAAAATAAAGGATAATATTGATTTTAAAAAAAAAACCCCACTAGCATAACAAATGTGCTTCTTTTAACAGATTTACCAATAAAAAACCCCAAACTTGAATGATTTCTGTCGTTCATATTTTATACAAGAGAAAGTTTTGTACAAAATCAGTTTATCTGCATTTTTGATGGTTCCCTCGTGCGAAATACCAGAATAATTTCTTTTTAATATTCCAGTATTGTTTTAATAGACAGCACAAATTATATAGCAATTTTTTTCTACAAAGTTTTACTTTATCAGTAAAGAGATTTATTTAATGCAGTATTTTGCTTTACAATTACTGACACTCACTCGTGCAATGGAACTTGTGTGAATCCAGGCAAGGCTATGTGATGTTCCCCTCCAATGTCTGCACCACACTCCAGACATCGGCCTCTCTCCATCGGCCGGCCGCACTGCAGTGCAAGATTAAACATACAGTATAATTATAAAACATCGAGTCTGTAATAATTGTGAAGAATATATTAACTGGAACAGCAAAAAAATGGCTTACCATATCAACACAGCATGGGTGATTATTTGGACAGACTGTGAAAAAGACATAATATAGATTAATCTGTGAATTTATGGTCAGGCAAATTACTCCTGAACCAAGTCTGCCATCTTGGTAAAACATCTGACCAATCTATATTAACTTTTATTCAATGGTCAGCAAAAATGACCAGCTATATCTTAAAAATTAAATCTCTAGTGAATTTGCCCCATAATGAAGCTTTTTAAAAGCTTTGTGTCCCCTGGAAGTGCTATTGGTCGATCGTGGCTCAAGAGTTTGGAGTTCGCCTTGTAATCGGAAGGTTGCCGGTTCGAGCCCCGGCTTGGACAGTCTCGGTTGTTGTGTCCTTGGGCAAGACACTTCACCCGTTGCCTACTGGTGGTGGTCAGAGAGCCTGGTGGCGCCAGTGTCCGGCAGCCTCGCCTCTGTCAGTGCGCCCCAGGGCAGCTGTGGCTACAATGTAGCTTACCATCACCAGTGTGTGAATGGGTGGATGACTGAATGTGTAAAGCGCTTTGGGGTCCTTAGGGACTAGTAAAGCGCTATACAAATACAGGCCATTAACCCTTTGGTGGAGCAGAATTCTACCAAAGATTTCAATTCAGGGTTGTTTTGGGTGCCATATCTCTTTTTCATAATGTCTTTCAAATCATTTAAGGTTTAGCATGATGACTGAAATATAGGTCATCCAAATATTTCCTGGTGAGGAGAGGAAATCCTCTCCTCAATTTGAAAGGTTGTCAAATTGTCAGAATACCCAGTTACAAGAACAGATCATTAAAAATGAAATTACTTGCATATATGAAAGGAATAATACTTACCATACCAAGTGAGCTGGCCCTGATAGTGTGTTTCTTGTTGTTGTATGGCTGCCTGGGCAACAGCTAACATGTCATCAGGCATTGTGGGTATAAAAGCCCTCTGTAGGTTAAATTAAGTGAAAATCTAATAAATGCCATAAAGGTAACATTAATCTTATCTTGCTGAAGTTATCCATTGCAGAGAGTAAGCAGCACAGATGTATCCTTCTTCTATTTTTGAGTGTTATTGTGTTTGCTGAGTTGTATTCCTGGAGCCAGTAAAGACTAGCTTCACTTTCATCTGCTTCGTTTTAACATCTGCCTTAACTATGACATTATCTCAGAGTATCTGCAATGGGAAAAATATCTAATATGTGGGAGTTGTGATGATTTAATGGTTAATATAAAAAAAAAAGATTTTAAATGTGTTGGTCACTGTCCATCCTTGAGCACTATTTTGAAATAACAATTCCCAAAACTGTTTACTTTTTGTAGATAAACCTGACTCCATATTACATAGCTCAAAGGCACATTAGCATACCACTATCTTATCCAAACCTAGTCATTTCTGGAAATAAAACTAAAATCAAGGGTTTGAAATGTGATTCCACAAACTAATGGGTAAAACCATGTGGCTAAATCAATCTTTTATATACAATCACACTGTTTACCTGCATATTTTCAGGTGACAGGCCAATGTTTTTCAGTGGCATCAGCAGAGGATGACTCCCTGTGAGCAGCACAGCTGCTAGATGGATGATCAGCTCGATAACAGTGTTTTCCTCAATGGTATTACCAGGTTGGATGGTAAGAGCTCCCAGTCTGTTATAAATCAATGCTGACGCAAAGTTTCTTACTTCTCTTTGGGGCAGGTATCTTGAGCCGTTAATGAGGTCATCAAATCCATTACATTGCTGTTGGGGATACAGAAAACATCTAAGAGAAGCAACACACTTTTTTTTTTTTTTACTGTGTAACAGTATTAATAATAATAAATGTCTCTCTGTGCAAAATGGGTTTAAAAACATAAACAACTGTGGGATACTGTTTGTCCATGATTTGAACTGGGGAACAAATTGTGGCAGGGTAAGCCTGATATCCTGATATTTGTATCCCACTGTATTTTTTTAATATATATATAAAGAGCTAATATCACCAAAATGTCATTATAAGAAGTGTTTGTGAACTAAAAATCAATAATTTGGGATGCTGTTTGTCCGTGATTTGGACAGCCCAGTGTGTGGTCCTGACGCAGGGGAAACAAATTCTGTTGGGGAGACCTACCTTGGCACCGCTGTTGTGCAGGCGAAGCCAAAGACAAGATATGTTTCATCATATTTTCTAGTCTTTGGTTTTGAAGGAAGTTGGTTTGTAAGCATATTTGGCGATGCTTCATTCTCTGCTTTGCATTTGTGTGGGAGCCCTGTCAAAAACCCGTCCATTATGCTAGTAGTGTGCGAGCATCCTTTTTTTTTAAATTCTTACTGTGCCCCCACTTTGGCAACCTCTGCCTTAATACATTAGCAAGGCAATCTGTGATATAATAGTCTAACTAGCTGTAGATATTGACAGTTAACCATGTCATACACAGATCAAGCCCTCTAATTTAGCATTTTTTAAATTAATATTTTAATACGCTTTATGATAAATCAAGATGTAGGCCAGTGTTTTAGCTTAGCTTGGTCCAGGTCTGGCAATGATACCCTGTTTATCCGATGGTATGCCATATCTGGCTCGATTGTGGTTTGGGTTAAGTGGCCCAGGCTCATAGAAAACAGGTCTGGCCCGGATCTGGCATCAAGCTGGCACTTCTGACTGAGTGGTGTCATGGCAGAGTGTATGTTACGGTCCTAGCTGGGCCTCCTGAAACTGCCCTTGTGTGGGTGTGGTGTTTTCTCTCCGCCTCTTCCTCTCTTGCTCCACCCCTCTGTCTCTCTCTTGCTCTTCTCTCTCCCCAGGTCACATTGGCCTCATTTACCACCTGGGCCCAGTCAGCAATCACCTGCCTGAGGTTATATAAGCTGGGGTTGAACTGGATGTATGAGGGTGGTTTTCTCTGGTGTCTCCGCTTTGTGGGCTAGGTGTGTGATTGTCCTGCCTGTGGTGTGGAGTTGTGGAAGGAGTGTGCAGTGTAGCTGCTACATGTGAGTAGTGTGGGCTTGTGGGCCTCAGCAGCAGTAAAGTTAGCTGCTGCTAGTGACAGGGTGAGCTTGTGGGCCCCTGGAAGTGCCTCCTTGTGGTGTGGAGTTTGTTTGGTTGTTGTGTTCTTTGTTGTTGCAACCTTTTTCTTTTTCTAGTGTTATTGGTAAAACGGTGTTGCTGGCTCTTTATGTTAAGATTATCTATAATAAAAACTATTTTATTTACTAAACACCTCTGTCTGTTCTCCTTTCATTCTGTTATGGACTCACTTGTTACCAGTCCCCATACACACCCCTAGACCTTCATTGTGGGGAGGTAACAGTGCATGTCAACCAGATGTGGGCCAGGTCTGGCAATGATTGTACTTTTTACGTTCCTATTTTAGTTAGAAGAAACAAATGCCATGTAATACTATACTGCTATGGTAGCCAATGTTTCAAATGCAGGTTTGTGAGTGTACACTTTATCCAAAACCTAGTGAGGGTTTACTCATGTTTACCAATGGGATTTGGGATTTTATTCATGAGTGATGTTAAGGTGGAGTGCAACTTGGACCGGCAGATTGGTGTAGCCTCAGCAGTAATGCACTGTACCAGACTGTTATAGAGAAGAGAGAACCAAGATGTAATTTATCAGTTATCTGCATTCCAGCACTCACCTACGGTCATGAAATCTTGGGAGTGACCAAAAGAACAGGGTCACGAGTACAAATGACCAGTGATGGGAATAACGGTGTTATATGTAACGGTGGAGCTAAGGGGGCAAAACAATCACATGAGTGCTGCTGTTTGGCTGAGGAAGAATAAAGTAGTCCTAGTAAACCAATCACAAGACCACTTCAAGATGACAAAGCAACAAGGTGACATATACCAGTTTTTAAATTGTGTTGATAGGCCACGTAAAACCAGAGTCATGATAAACAATATATACGAGTTGTTTTCCTGAATACTTTCATCACGTTTACTGTGTAAGGGCAGCGCTAGCAAGCACTCTCTACATATGACCAAAAAATAAAACAAAAAACAGCCCTTTCGTGTTGGTGGAAAAATGTACAATGCCAACCAATCAAAAAATGATACGGCAACATGACATTTGGTTGTTTAGCAAGAGGGGGAAGTTTTAGGAGTGACGGTGAGAAAGAGAGAGACAGAAAGAAAGAGAACGGAAATGAGAGAGAGCGAGTTTTGAGATGTGAGACATTTGTGACGTTTGGCGTGTTTGTAGTTAATGTGTTGTCTTAGTGTGTAGTGGATAGTTTTGTGTTGTGGGTCAGAACAATGAGGCGACTGCTGAATGTTACAGGTGCTGCCAAAAAGTCACCAAAGGCAGATTACAGTGTAAACGGTGTCTCCAGGTAGAAAACAGGAGTGATACACCTGCTGCTGTCAGACCTGCAGGTATCAGGCTGTGATGTTCTCCTTTATAGTGGACAGAAATTATTTTTTAGAGTGGCGCAAATAATTTGTGTGGCATCTTAATGAATTCAGAACACCTGATTGTTCTGTAAATAGTTTGAAATGGTTAGTTAAAAAAGGGTAAAAGCTAAATGACTGTAAATAACTTTGTTTGCTAAACTTGTGCATATGATTTTAAAATTTACAATTTATATTTGCATTTAAAGTTATGAAAAACATGTTTGTGGTTGTTACAGTAAAAACGATAACTTTTTCTACTCAGATTTTTACATTTTTGTCTGATTGTAGATCAGTTTTGCTAATATAGCATGTCAAAATGAAAACATAACTGTAAATTCAGGCACATGAGGTTGTGCTGAAAAGGATGATACCAAACAAGGCAAATTAAATAGTTTTTAAAGGTGAAATGTAGAAGGGAAAATCAAAAGTAGTCAAAAATATGGTTAAACATTTTTTTTAAGTAACGCAATAGTTACTTTTCCTAGTAATTAATTACTGTTAGAATCTTGTAACTCACTTACTAACTCAGTTACTTTTTTGAATAAGTAACTAGTGAATATAATTGCCCAACTTGCCCAACACCGCAAATGACTAAATGACTTTCCTCTGCAAGGTGGCTGGACTCAGATTTAGAGCTAGGATTAGGAATTAAGACATTGGGATAGAGCGTAGAGTAGAGCTGTTTCTTAAAATTATTAATTATTGGATATTAATTATTATCCAGATTCTAATTTTGCCACTGTTCATACCTTGGGAGTAGGATGAAGACCCCTGTTTTCAGATCTGTACAGAGTTGTAACCTCTCGGAAAACAGCCAGCAGGAGGAACACTGTCCGATTCCTTCGTGTAGCCATACATTTCTAGTGTATTTCAAATAAAAACAATAATAAAAATCACAAGTATAAATAAAGATACAAGTAAAAATGGGCATATAGAGTACAGCACTATGGTGAGTACAATAACTATACAACTAAGCATTTACGGTCTTAGCAGTGATACTGTACAACATCACTTGCAGTGCTCTATGAATAATGAGAAATGTTTCAATAAACTACCCGCCCACGGTTTCATCAAAACAATATAACAGTAATAGGTAGATGAAACATGAAGGAGTATCGGTAATATATTTATTACAGGAGAGAAATACCTCACAGACTTCTTCTATCTGCTCGATGTTGCCGTCTACTAGTGCCTTGGCAACTGCATCTCTCACAGCCTTGTACTCCTCTCCATACGCAAGATACTGGTCCATCAGGCCTCCATCTTCATTCTTTTGACACTGTGAATGAAATTACAAAGCAAATGTGTTTAAGTACATAAATTAGACCTGAGTTATTCTGGTGACTATGAATTAGTTAGATAACTGGCATAAGTTGTTGGGGCGACCGTGACTCAGGGGGTTGGGAATCGCATCTGTAACCGGAAGGTCGCCGGTTCGATCCTTGGGCTCTCTGTCCTGGTCGTTGTGTCCTTGGGCAAGACACTTTACCCTACCGCCTACTGGTGTTGGCCAGAGGGGCCGATGGTGCGATATGGCAGCCTCGCTTCTGTCAGTCTGCCCCAGGGCAGCTGTGGCTACAACCGTAGCTGCCTCCACCAGTGTGTGAATGTGAGAGTGAATGAATAGTGGTGTTGTAAAGCGCTTTGGGTGCCTTGAAAAGCGCTATATAAATCCAATCCATTATTATCCATGGTTTGTTTCAGTGTTTGTAAATAAAAAGCTACAATCAAAAGGGTTGATGTACAATCTTTAATATGTTCTGCATCAAATTAAAGTTGATTACGTCGATTAAGCATTATGAGGTGGTGGGTGGTTCCCTATTTATTAATTTTTTTTGCTGGGAGTTTATAACCCTATTAGTTAAATTGCTTACTCTTTAAAATACCAGAATAGGGAGGATGGAGTAGGTTTATGTTTGTTAGATTGATCAGTATTGCTGAACCATGAAATATTTTGGGTGTAGTGTATTTTTTGCATACAGGTATAACAGAATAGCTTTAGTGTTTTTTTTAAAAAACTTGAGTATGAACTTATACAAAAGGCAGCAAGATATTTAAAAAAAACAACCAACAGTTTTATTGATTAAAAAACACACTATATCGGATTCATATCGGTATCGGCCGATATCCAAATTTATAATATCGGTATTGGTATCGGACATAAAAAAGTGGTATCGTGCCATCTCTAACCTTGACCTCCCGGTCTGCTATCAAGCTGGTGTGTAACAAACGTCTCAGAAAATGTCGAAGCACTTTTGCAAATATGTGATGTTTTGATAAATCAAGCAGATATTTGAAGTTTACAGAGCTACATTCTCTCCTGAAAATAACTTAAAAGTTTATTTTGTGATCTAGAAAGAGTAGTATTTAAAAGTTTTTAGTGTTTGAGTTTTGGACGAAATGCATTCTGGGATATTTGGCTGTACCAAGTCCACACAAGTCATAACCAATGCATGCTCGATAAAACGGAAGGAGCGAAAGCACATCTGGAAATTTTTATCGCTCTCAGCTTGATGCGTACTTTGAATTGGAACAGTACTTGGTCTCTGACAGATGACATATTACAAGTTCATGAGAACGCAGGAACACACAAGTACACATATTGAGACATGGCCCCGCCATTACTAATTACTCTTTAGTATTTTTCCATCCCCCCTCCCAACAACAACCCAGTATAAACGTTTCTACCTCTTATCATTCACCTGATACTACGGCTTACACTTCTGTCTAAAATGTTGTAGGGTCTTTACCTTATATAATAAAGTGCTATGAAATAACTTTTGATGTAATTTCATACTCTGGAGAAAAGTACATGAATTTATTTTTTGACTCATATTTTTGCCAGTAAAATAACTCATGACTGTTGAAGTACCTGCTGATGTATCTCTTCAGGGAAAAGCCAGAAGAACTCAGGTTGTTTCACCATTGTTTGAACGTACTCAACACCCTGTGATTCGCTGAGCTTGCGGATGAGGTAAACACGGTACCAGTTATTCCCACTGTCCTCACAGAGCTTTATCACCATGTTTAGAAAATCTTCTGCCCCATCTGGGACATGGTTGCCTGCAACAACGACAGACTGGTTATTTTAGTTCCTAAGCACTGGAAACTATAGTAGTGCAATGCAGTAGTGAAGTTATATCTCACCTGACAGTCTATCACTGATGAGCTGGGAAGCCATGATGAGGGTCACACGCAGTCGGGCAATATGCTGGAGGTGTTGAATAGAGACTGTTGCTGGAGCAGAAGTGACTTCAGCCAAAAAGGACTGCAGGAACTGTGTTTCATTAATGAAACACTGTAACTCTGCAGCTTTGTTGCCCTCCTGAGGCATTTTCTCCCAGATGGAGTCCTGCAAATATCACCAGTTAACTGTCACTTCATCTGACGTCTATCAGCAACAAGCAAAAAAACCAAGGACTTTGTCATACTGCTGGTATTCAAACTGTGCCCTGTTCAGATATAGCTGGATAACTACATATGTTTGAGAATACGTAAACAACTCCTGTATACTGAAACTACTTTTACATTTACATTAAATCCAGCACAGAGGACTCCTCCTTCTGCTGATCACTAGTTTAAGTTTCATTCCAGAAGGAGAATATTTACATTATGTTAGTGGGTTTCACGTTCATGTTCACAACTATAAGTAAAAAAAAGACCAAACAGTAGAAAACAGAATTTCAGATGTCCTTTTAGAGACTTTTGTTTTTGGAGAATAATACATGCTCCCTAAAAGGTTGTGGTTATTCTTTAGTTACCACTTGCTTTAGAAAAATAAAATAAAAAGTCTTTATAAATCCTTTTTTATTCCTAAAAAGGAGAAACCTTCTTCTCATCAGTTTATTTGTGTAATGTAACACTATTAAATGCAATTTCCAAAGGTTTTCTTTCTAGTTTTACCTCCAAACAGTTGATGTATAAGGCATAGAGCTCTGTTTTATCCACATCATCAACAAATCTGCTTTCTTCAACAGATGACAAATGCTGCTGCAAATATTTCATGACCTCTTCAAAGCTGAAACACAGTTAGGTCAATCATAGAGGGTAAGGTAAACAAGTTCAAGTCAATTCACACATTTTATCACTAAACATGCAAAATTCCCAATGCTGAGAAACTTTTCAACACTGCTCAAAACATTGAAACATCTATGTTAATTCAGACTAAGAGTAATTTTACAGTGACATATTTATAGTAGGATGCCTACCTGAATTTCAGTAGCAGTTTGAGAATTACAGATCGCACAACTGGGTTTTTATCTGGAGACTCGTCAAAAGGTGATAAAGCTTTGGTGTGAATCTCTTTCTGATCTGTTTGGAAAATAATCTAAAGTTAACATTAAAAAAGACCAATAGTAATTTATTCTAGCAGATTTTGATCACTTTTTTGTCATTTTTGAAATCTGGAAGAAAATGATTTATATTATTTATGGTTGTAGTGATCACATGAGAAATTATCCCTGGATTCCAGATTCTTTAGAGAAGAAGGTGAAAACCCCCCAAAGTGGTACCTGTCTCTGTCATCAGGTAGGAAAAAAGGTGTGCGATGACACCTCCATCTGGAGGTGTATTGTCCTTGAAGCACATAGTAGAGAGCAGATCAATAAAGAAACTGTTGCAACGTTGCCTGAATCCTGCATTTTTCTTGATAGATGCTCTGGAGAGATACAAAATGTAAATTAAGCATAATGTACTGTATATGCACTATGCCAAACATTAAGCTTTGTAACCTGATTCCCCAGAACTGATTCTCTCTCAAGATCTCAATGTGCTTACTGATACTGTGTTTTATGCACACTACAAAACAATATTTTTAATTATAAAGTGAAACTCTTGAGATTGAGACTCTCTCTTGCAAGAGTGTCCTGGGATGACATAGCATTAACTTAGCTTTTATTTTCACAGCAGAAGAAACCTGAGCTCCCAGAGAAAACCTTCACAAGCACAGGTCAAATATGCAACCTCAACAAAGAACAACCTTACCCAGGTTTGAACCCATGACCATGTTGCTGTGAGGCAAAAGTGCTAAGCAACAAGCCACTGTACGTCTTCTATATTTGAAAATGTTGTAGAATGAATGGGTGACACATCGATTATAAGTGGCAGCCTGTAACTATATTTCATAAAGGCAAATATGGCAATCCTGCCATAACAGTTGAACCAGGGAAGGGGCAAAAGGAGCCAATCTTGTTACCCTGACGCATACAGACAGTAGTAGGTTCCACCTGTGTGATGTTTTGCATATCTACTTATTATCATTTAGGTAATTCCTTCAAATACTCTAGTAGGATAAGCCTGTAACACGTATCATGTCAGCACTCTGGATTGAACCTTTGCTGAAGCCTTAAGATTGAAAAACTTTGCAAATACTCTTTAAGTTTAAAGCTGTTTAAGGTATTTCTGAGAAGGTTGTAATATAAAGCAGCTGTATAGTTATGAATAGGGATGGGTATCGTTTAGGTTTTATCCGATACCGGTGCCAAATCGGTACTTTTGAAACGGTGCCGGTGCTTAAACGGTGCTCGAACCGGTGCTTAAAGAATGGAGAACACAAACTTTGTCCAAAAACCTCTCATGTTCAGCTGTTTT